ACACCCAATTTACTACCACTTAGCACTTTTCAAAAATTATGGTACACATTTTCAAAACCACCTTCATATCTTAACCACAGACACCATTAGTGAAATCTATATCAATTTTGAGGATTTAAACTCTATTCCTTCACTCTATGCCAAATTAAAATAGGTATAGTATAGGAAGCATTTCCAAACAAACGCCAAATTTGAAAAACACGGATACCACGGATTTATTTCTAAACCTTTACCCAATACCAAATTTAGTACCATTCAGTACTTTTCGTACAATTATAGTACACATTCCCAGCCAACAAAGACCTCGATATACAATTTTGGGATTCCGGCTCTTTTCCTTCATGCAAAACCAAATTTAGTACAACTTAGTGTTTTTCGAACTATTGGTACATATTTCCAAAAAGACCTCCATACCTTTACCTCAGTGACATCTAAATCAAAATTTCAAGATTTCACCTCTTTTCCTCACTCAATATCAAATTCAGTACTTCTCGCACAATTATAGTACACATTTCCGAACTCACCAATTACAACTTCTATACAAATAAAGGACGTATTTCCAAACAACCGACAAATCTCAAACACAGGTACCATCTGTAATCTAAATATGAAATGTCATAATTTTATCTCTATCACTTCACGCAAGTACCTTTAGTACTTCTGGTATAATTATAGTACACATTTCCCAAAACCTCCTCCATATGTACAGGCTACAAAATTTCCAACTCTCTTCTTCTCTTTTCATACAACACCAAATTGTACCGAATATAGTACATTTCATGCACCTTTTCAAATTTAGTACAGATAGCGCACTTAGTACATATTTCCAAAACCCCTGTCATATATGAAACTTAATTTCATAATATGATTCCACACCAAATTTCCAGTATTTAGCTGTATCCGTTCAAATAATACCGAATGGTAATATATAAAAGTTTAGTACAATTTTGGAACTTTTCGTGACCTTTAAGTTGGAATTTCCAAAATCGTTTCAGAATTCCAGCTAAATATATTTGCCAATTGCAACTATCAATTTTAGAACTTTTCGTACCCTTTTCATACGAATTTCGAAAAGCTCAGCCTACGCACGAAGTGAAAATCGGAAATCTGTATCGTAAAATGATAACTAGTTCTTCTTGCCTAGAATTGAAGAACAGGGCATGTGGTTTCCATCGTGGTGGTATAGGTTATTAAGTAGTCCTTAAAATAAATTAAGTTATTCCCGAAATAGACAACAATTTGTTACAATAAAAATAAACAAGTAAAAAAGCTGTAAGTTCGGCCGGGCCGAACTTTTAATACCCTCCACCATTTGGTACAAATTTGGCAATTTCCAAAAAAAAAACCGTTAAAAATTCTGTTAAAATCTTAAAAATACCGAATGCTTATACGACGACGTGGGCCTGTCATAAATTATTGCAATATTTAAATGCGAAACTTGAAGAAAAATCTGTTTATAATGTAGCTAAAATCGTCAAAATACCGAATATGGGGGGTACCGTTATATAGGGGCTATACGAAGACGTGGACCTACATGGCTCATTTTTTGACTTTGGATGAAGTATCCATTACGAACTTCACATGCGAAATTTGAAAGAATCCCTGTAAATAATGTCGTTAAAATCATTAAAATACCGAATATCGGGGGGTACCGTTATATGGGGGCTATATGATAACTTGGACCTACATGGCCCATTTACGAACTTAACCTGCCTACTGGGAAAATATACATGTGTGCAAAATTTTAGCCTTCTATCTCAATTTGTTCGAAAGATAGCGTGATTACAACAGACAGACAGACAGACGGACAGACAGACAGACAGACACACAGACAGACAGACGGACATGGCTAAATCGTCTTAGAATTTTACGCTGATCAAGCATATATATACTTTGTTGGGTCTGACATGAATATTTCGAGGAGTTACAAACGGAATGACAAAATTAATATACCCTCCATAGTATGGTGGAGGGTATAAAAAAAAAACAGTTTACCAACACTCATTCGATCATAAAGAAAAATACCACCTAAGCTAAACGACAAATGAGGGAATTAAACAATAAATGCGCATTTCCGTGTCACTCAGAATTGTTTTCCACGTAAAATGACATAAAAATAAAATAAAACAACTAAAAGTTTCTCAACATAAAAGTTTTGCCCTCCTATCCTGTCATTTTTATAACAATTGCAATTGTGGAAAATATTCATTCAACGCCGCGGCCTGGCTGACAGCCATGCCATCGTGTATGTGGCGAATGGGTTAGTGTGTGTGTGCCATAGTAAAAGTTTTCAAAACGAATTAAGCTACAGATTATTACCTGGGTTTATAGTTAAAGTACGGCTAAGAAGGTGTATTTTTGAAGTTGGCAGGATAGAACGTATTATGCACTCGATAGTCCACACAGAGTTTGTGTTTTGTTTTCCTGCCTCGCCCGACTCTGTTTTTAGTTGTATGGCTGAAAGCGAATTTTAGCTTCAAAATCCTTTTGGAAAAAAGAAAACTGTTTTTTTTTTAAAAAAAACCTAGCAAAAGGAAACTTTTAACAATTCCCAAGAAATACTCCAAGGAATATTTGAAACGAGCGAGCGAAAGAAAGGTTAAAGTTTACCATCCGCATTCGAATGAAAGGTGAAAAAATGGCAAAGATAGACATAATAACAATTCCCTAAATGACATTTATTTGTTAAAGACATAGAATATTGTCGATGTTGGTGTGAAGAGGAAGAGTGTAGTCAGCGGCATTCTGCCTACTCTAGAAGTTGAGAAAGTTTAACGTCATTCTTGTTCTTTTTCTTCTTATTTTGCACCACGAAAAATGTGATGATGCAAACTGGCATTAGTGACAGCGTTGAAATGTTGTAACGTGGGTAAAGAGACAGAGTCAGATGTCAGACTCATAAAAATTCTATCTAAAGGCGATTAGGAATAGCATAACACGGCAATATCCATAGAGAACTATTAGGGATGGATTAAATGTGCAGGATTATTTTTTTTTTTTGGTGGGTAACAATTTACAAGAAACTATTAGAAAAGTTGGAGAAATGCAAGATTAGCTGTATTTATATTATTGTAATTGCAAATTTTCAAAATCTAGTTACCAGTATGAATCAATATGTAGCAATACACATATCCGACCTAATATCTAGTTTTCTTGACAGGGAAGAGGAAGTTAAAAAGACCTAAGACCTTAATAACAACTGAAAATGGGATTTCTAAGATAGGATAAGAAAGGATTTAACCAAGAGAGATTTATATTTTTATAAATTACTATTACTATATGCAAGAGACATTAATGTATAGTCGATAGTGATATGGGAGGGTTTCATGCGCAAGATATTTTATAGTAGCAAGGATACGGACAATTCCCCGCAAGAGGCCTATATAAGCACCAAAGAAAGTATATAAGGGGATCCAATGTTAAGATTGACTAAGTAAAATTTTTTACATTTACCACATCGAAAGACCGACTACGTCGCACAGTGGGTGACCATGGTATTTTTAATGATTCTACCACAATTCATATGTAACTTGATATCTTAAGTCCTGCGTAGATAGGTCCAGTGAAAGGGAAAACATTTGAGTAGAGTCAGAAAATGCATAGTCAGGCTTAATTCCATTATTGTTGTTTTTATGAGAAACTAGTTATACTTATCAGTGGAGAAAACTGGTTTGCTAAGAAACCCCCCAAGAGCTATTGGGAAATAACTGCAATGGGTACAAACCAATACATATTTATACAAGTAAGCAAAGGCTATAGTCGTGCGGGGTCGACCATGTGATACCCTACAACACTACAGTTTGTTCGAAGTCCCCTTATGTCCAAATCCATTTCGGAAGATTTCGTTTTTGAAATAATGTCAAAACAATGCCCCTAACTCTCTTCTGATGCGAAATTCGGTGTCAATTTTTTGAAAAATTTATATGTTTTAGTCCATTTGAAACCCTAAATGTAAATCTTTAGAACAATAGGCTTTAATTCTGACCCTAACCCTACTCCCATGCAAAATTTCGTGAGGATCGGACGATAATTGCGACATGCATATAATACCCTCAAAACGTAGTGTTGCAGAGTGTAAAAATTTAAAAAAATAAAAATATGACAAAAATTGAAAAAAGGAATAAAAGATTTTTTTATTGCTATGTTTTTCCGCGATTTTCTTAGATTTTATCCGTTTCTGGGAAGAGACCATACGAATTGATTGGAATTGTGAAAATCGGCCCAGCGGTTCTTGACTTATAAGCGGAAAAGAAGATATATTCTTTTTCATATATATTGTACCTATTTTACTATGTATCCGATTTCTTGGCTATCAGCATCACTTTAATGGTCAGAAGTGACCTTTTAATGTATTTGTATTTGTTTTCTTTTCTAACTATCAAGTTATTTTAAGTTTAATTGCCAACTATGGCACCACACAAACTTGTGATTACATTTCCTAAAAAAATAGTTATTTTCATTGATCTTCTCCGAAATATATCAAAAACGTATTATCAAGATTTCCTTACTTAGTCGCCTCACATTCAGCTCGCTACCTAAATGTGTCAAGTGTGGCATGCGAAAAGAACAACATCAGAAAAATGCCTGCCACAACATAAAATCAGTTGAATAAATAAATCTGCGGTTACTTTCCCCAGCAGCAGCGCCAGCATATGAGGACACAATAAAAACACATTTCCTCTGTTGTCAAAACTTAAACCAATTTGTTAAAAGTACAACAATAATTTAACAAAAACCGACGAACTCTTGCAACGTATACAAGATGCGGAAAATAAGGCGAACAAAAATCTCACTCCGGCATGTACACTGACAAAAACCACATAAAAGAATTTCATGTCAATCACTTACTTTTCACAGGCAATTTATTACATTAGTCTGCCGAAAAAAGTTGCAAAGGCACACACGCACGGAATATGTTATTGTGTGCGTAAAGGATAACAAAAGGATCCAAAAGTTTTTACAATTTAATACAAAACCTGAATTAAAAAAAAACGGTATACTAAAATTTATACAGACTTTCTTTTATTTAAACTTAAAACCAAAGAATAATCAATAAATTTCAAAACTGTTTTTTGTCGGAGGCTGTCAGTGTCATAAACTTGCAAATGACTTTTTAGTATCCGTCGTGAATCGGCTGAAGTGAACATTGATAGCTGCTGCCGCTACTGTCTACTTTCTCAATTTCCACCATGTTACGACTAGGAGGAGCAGGATGATGATGATGCTGCTGCCGACGATTTCAATACCCTCAGTTTGGAATAAATTATGTCCCAGTCCAAATAAGCACCAACAATATACCGCACATTGTTATCGGTGTCATCGTAGCCAGTGCGACCGTGCAACAGACGAATATTATTAAATGTCAGAACGTCACCGGCTTTTGTCTTGAACGAGTGGGCGTCTTCACGAGCCAAACGTACGAATTTGGCATAGGCTTCGTACCAGGGTATGACTGTATCCAGTGCCACCGAAAAATGGCTGTCACGTTGAGGTATACTGTGATTTATACGCGTATAATTTCCGTCATTGTCTAAACTGCAATGGCGAGAATAAAACCAAGTGAGAAAGAGAAAAGGGAGAGGAAAATTTAGGAAATTGAATGAACTTGACAGAATATCGTAAAAAATGTAGTCAAAGATGGTATTGATGGCCATGGGTTGATGATAATGAAGATTAAAATCATAATTTTCTTGTAGATGGTGATGATCTTGAGTATGCCGATACTGTCTCATAAACAGATTTTATATCAAGAATTACACACACCAATAAATATATATTTTAAAATATACAAAGTAAAGTAGAAGTTCACAGTGTTTCGACAACTTATCAGTTACATCTAAAACCTAAACGAAATTGTAAAATCTAGAGTTTTTGCACGTTAAGGCCATTCTTGCCTGGGAATAAGATATATGTTTATAAATGTATTTCTGAAATACCCTACTAAAATATACTAAAAGATATACTAAAAGATAAATATTTGCTCAGGGCAAAGCCATTGGAATTCCAAAAAGTGCAAGAACTTACACCGCAACAGAAAGAAATTAGAATCAAATGAGCTAAAGAGTTGCTTCGCTTGGCCGAAAGTGGTGAACTGCCGAATTTGATTTTTTCTGATGAGAAAATATTCGTTGTCCAGAAAATGTGAACCTTCGGTTGGCCACCAGAACTCAAGCGGCGGCCATGGCGATGGTGTGGGTCGCTAAAACAGCTGATGGTCGCTCTTCGCGTATCGACCGTATTAATCGATCGTGGCATCAGAATAAATGCCGAATATTAAAGCGAAAATATTCTGGAGGGTGCATTAAAGCCTTGGGCACAACATTCGGGCAGCTTGTGACGGTTTCATTGGTCGTTCGAAGGCCATAAGTCGTGCCAATTCAAACAAATCTGAACTTATTCTAAAATTTTATGCTATTTCCGACATTTTTGTCATTCAATGAAGTTATAAAAAAACCAGTAAAGAAAGTCTTAAAGTCGGCCGGGGCCGACTTTATGATACCCTACACCACTAATTTGCTAATTTAGTAGAGCTGCGCATAACAATTAAAAGTTTTTATGGAGCAATTCAATCATACACGCTATTATTATAATTAAAATTTAAAGTTCAAAGGACTAAATATGCCGAAGCATTTATATCTTTTAAATTCGGACTTGTATTGCCCATTTGGTGCACAATTAATTTGAAATCGGATAAAAATATATATGGGAGCTACATCCAAATCGGAACCGATCTCGATAAAATTTGGCAAAATTAAATTTGAGCTGTATTTGATATATTTCCCTGAATATCGTGGGTATGCACTCGTTGGAGTGCATATTACGGCTGTGGGTAACAAATATGACAAATCGGATGAACAGTATATATGGGAGCTATAGCTATATCTGAACCGATCTTCCGAAATTTGACATAATAGCTTCTAGACTCAATTCGGTCGTAAGTGCCAAATTTCATCCAATTTGGGCAAATATTAGACGTTTGGTCCACAATCAAAGGTAAATCGGACGAAGTTATATATGGGAGCTATATCCAAATATGAACCGATCTCGATAAAATTTAGCAAATGTATTTCTGAGCTATATTTGATATATTTCCCCAAATATTGTTGTTACAGGGTGCATATTACAGCTGCGGAGGACAAAAATAGCAAATCGGACGAAAAATATATATGGGAGCTATAGCTATATCTGAACCGATTTCGATCAAATTTGGCATACTTATTTTCAGGGCTAAATTGGGTGTATATTCAAAATTCCATAGAATTCGGGCTGATATTACACGTTTGGTGCACAATAAAAGGCAAATCGGACGAAGATATATATGGAAGCTATATCTAAATTTAGACCGATTATCTCCAATTTCAATAGGGTTCGTCCTTGGGCCAAACAAATGATTTGTGCAAAATTTCATCTGGATAGGACAATAAATGCGAACTGTACTTTGTTTTACAAAAATACATGGACAGACGGAGAGACGGACGGACGGACGGACGGACAGACGGACGGACATGAATAAATCGACTCAGAATGTGATTCTATGCATATCTTCAAACGGAACTATGGGTCTATCTCGTTTCCTTTTGCCTGTTACAAACAAATGCACAAAGACATAATACCCTGACCACCTTGTGGTGTAGGGTATAAACATTTGAGAATTATGGCGTTTGACTTTGTATTTTGTAATATTTTTTCACCTTACAACACAGGTTGGGGAAATTATATAAGTATTGCAAATATCGTCCGATCCTCACGAAAATTTTCACAAGGGAAGGTTTGGGCTCAGAAGGGCTAGACCTATTGTTTTCAAAGATGTCCGCAATATATTAGGGGGTTGAAATGGACCAACAACTAAAATTTTCCTGAGTATGCAGCCGTAAGGTCACAAATAGAAACCAAAGAAAGGACACGAAATCTCGCATAAAGATAGATTTTAGGACAGCGGGTAGAATAGACCACTAATTTTGTGTGAAATAATACCAGCATTACAGGCGATATCCGAAATACACAAACGGCGAACTTCTGGCTTTTTATGCTGATTTCGTTGACGAATATAGCCAAATATCGTAGACAAGCAAATCATATAGATGAGTCTAAATTTGGAACACAGAGAGGACTCTTACTTTTGGAGATGATTGCAAAATATTTAGGGGTTCAAATTAAACAAAAACAGAAATGTTTTTCCGATCACACAATTGAAGCCAATCGACACGCCCGTGAAGAGAATTAAGGACAGGGAAGAATTCTAACATTTTGAATGACCATTGGATAATTTTTAGCTGTAAAATGGACTACAACAACTAACAGCCCGACGGAGTGCATAAATGTTGGGCAAATGTCCCTAGTCAAAATCTTAATTTCAAAAGCGAAATCTTCCAATATGGATTTGGACATAGGGGGGCTTCTAACATATTGTAGTGTTGTAGGGTATAACATATTCGGCCCGCACGACTATAGCCTTTGCTTATTTGTTTTTTGAATAATTCTTGTAAATTATCCGAGTCGTAATTGAATTTATTTGAAACAATTTTAATCTTTTTTTAAACGCTTAAAAAGGCTTGAAAAAAATCTTCCTTCCTTCTTATGATCATGTGTCCAGATATCTTATGGAAGTTGGTGGTAATCGGTTTAGACTTGAACATACTTCTCTTCTCTTCAAGTAAATTATTCATATGAAAACAAAATATTGCAATTTTGAGAAATGTTATTTAAGTCGGCTCAAATGTAGCATCCTTAAATATGATTCGTCATGCCAATTCATAAATCCTATAAGGATGATAAAAAATATGTTTTAGCCAAGAAGGATGTCTGCTGAATGTAGTATAATTTACTTCTCTATCTATATTTTGGTATACATTTGTTCAATCCGATTTCAGATGTTACGACTTCTCAAACTTTTTTATAAACAAATTACCAATTGTAAAGGATTTTTCCATGTTTGCATCACTGTTCTTCCCTTATGTCAGAAAAAAAACGAAAACACCAAAAACAAATGCCTATACAATCAATAATGATTGCATGCACCTATCAAGTCCATTTGTGAAGGATTCCTTCATTACCGCACAATATGTTCCTGTGTGCATGTGTATGTCGGAATCAATGTGGAGCCACACAGTCAAAAGCTGCTCCGTTGATCCAAGTCGTGTTCTGAAGTGCTATTGCAAATGAAGTGTCAAAGCGATAAAAATGTTGTGGAATGTCGACTGCTACCACTAACCCCCCCAAGACGACCTACCCCAAAGGTGGTGGTTGTCTGTTTGCCATTCAATGAATATTTCCGTGTCCCATCTCGGGCTATGAAATGAAAACAAGGAAATAAGATAGAACAACACTAGAGAATAAACTCGTAGCAATAAATAAATTGAAAATCGATTTTTTGCTATCGTATCCTTGGTGTTTTTATTTATTCTTTCCTGGTTGCATCGCAAGGCAACCTAAGAGTGCAGTAACATTATATGAAAAAGAAAAAAATATTCTGAGTCCCCTTCGTAACCAATATTAAGCATCACGCGTCTAACAGTCGTTACACCACCGACATTGTTTGTTGCCACCACCACCTATGTCTATACGAGTGAGCACAAGGATTTATTTTCTCTATAGGATGGTATCCATTTAATACTGAGTGCACAGTGGGCTTTTAAGAATATGCGGTCATATTTTCTTACGATATTTGTTAGTCTAGTATAATTGGTATAATCGTCCATTTTTAGGAATATATTGCATAGTCTAACTGAAACGAGGATTTTTAAGGAATACTTTTTCAAGGACCAACAGCCACTAAACGTGGATTTTAAAAGAATATTTCTTTAAGTACCAAAAACATATAAATGTGAATTTTTTTAAGAATATTTGTTCAAGAACCACAAATCCTGGCTTTTAAAAAATGTACTTAAGGACCATCTGAGCCACCAATTTTAGTAACTTTTTCATAGACCGTCAGAGCCACTTAACGAGTATTTTAACGACTTGGATTTGATCTTCTCAAGGACTTGGAATTTTTAAAAATATTTTCTCAAAAACAAAGAGTCAAAAAATCAAAAATTTTAAAGAATATATTATTTCAAGGATGGATTTTTTTAATGAATATTTTTTTAAGGACCAATCGTGTTTTTTTTTTTAAGAATATTATTTCAACTATATTGTTATAAAGAATATTTTTCAAGGACAAGGACAATTTTTTTAAGGACAATCAAGGCCAATAAACTTGAATTTATGAAGAATATTTTGTCAAGGACAATCAAGACCAAAAAAACATTGATTTTTTAAAGAAAAAATTTCAAGGACACCAACAAACGGGGATTTTTAAAGAATATTTTTTCAAGGTCAATCAGGGCCAAAAAACGTGGATTTTTAAAGAATATTTTTTCATGGTCAATCAGGGCCAACCAAAGTGGATTTTTTTAAAGAGTATTTTTTTAAAGACCTACAGCCGTTAAACGTGGATTTCTAAGAATATTTTTTCAAGAATCTACTACCACCAAATTTGGATTTTGTAAAGAACATTTTTCAAGGACCTACAGCCCTCAAACATGGAATTTTTGAAAAAATATTTTTTCAAGGACCAAGATCCACCGTAAGTTTAAAATAATATTTTTAAAAGGACCAAGAGCCTATAAATGAGGATGTTTTGAAGAATATTTTTTTCACAGATCTAGAGCCACCAATCGTAGATTTTCTAAAGATTATTATTTCAGCCACTTAACTTGTTTTTAATACATTTCCAAGAACGAAGAGCCACCAAATTTGGTTAAAAAAAAAACCTTTTTTCAAGAATTAAGACCTAGACTAGCCAGACTCAGATTCAATTAGTTTAACACGTTGGTTTTTAAATACGTAAATTTAAAAAAAAATAGTTATTCCAAGGACTATCATTTAAATTGAACTTGGTTTTTTAAGAACTATATTTTCAAGAACTGTCAAACCCGCCAAGGACTACCATGTGCATATATTATACACCTCAAAAATACTGTTCTCTCTATAATCCTTTGTCATCAGCTATGAATAGTTTTGCATAAAAAATCGATAACACTTGAACTGCACTGCACACATCCTAACATTCAATCCCCCACTTTCCCACCAGACAACAACTACTAAAAATCACAGGGCTCTGCGAAAAAGCAACCCACTACAGCGAGTGACATAATGTTTTTGACAATAAATTATTCAAAAGACTATTTCCAAAAACCAACAACTGTAAATACTTTTGGAAACCTGAATTTTTATCAAACGCCTCGCATAACGTGCAAGCAAAAATGTGAAGCACCCAACTCAAAAGGACCCCAACTCGTCGTTGCATTTCAATTGATGACTAAAACACAAGGTGACTGTGGCAGGCGAATGAGAATGGATTTCAATTGAGGTTATGTTTGTATTTCCGTTTTTGTTCATTTTTTTCGTCTTTGACTCTTACCATATGACCGGAGCACGCCAAATGTTATGGAAATGTTTGCCCTCCTCACTGCCAATGTCATTCCAATCCACCAGGGTCTCCGCTAAAATCTTGTAATCCTCTGGGTGCTCTGCTTTCATGCGATCGGCAATGTGAAAACCGTCGACCAAAAGATTACTGCCACCCTGAGATTGCGATTGCACCATGCAGTGTAAAATATTGCAGCTAGGTTTGTATTCATAGTAGGGTAAGTCGGTGTGTAATGGCAGTGGATCCGAAAGATAGGCAACATTCTTGGCACCTGGTTTATTTTGCACAATAAACTCCTCACTTTCGGCGGTGTGTGTGTTTGTTCAGGCGAATATTTAGCATTCGGGAGGGGAAAAATAAGACGACTTAAACGCAAATCCAATTAATTTATGTCACAAAATTTATTTACCCATATGTCGTGCGTCGTATGAAACCAACACGCTCCGCTAATTGCCGCACCACAGTTTTATCGATAGGCGAATCTCTTATTATGGCCACACCATAAACGGCCAGGGCCTCAAGCCAATTTTTAAGGGCTAATAAATTGGAATAAAAATATTTTTTGTCAAAAAAAAAAAAAAGAATTAAATAAATAAAATAAAATATAAGGAATATGAATGTTTGACGTCAATAACAAAAATAAAAAAAAAGGAAATGCACAATTTGTTTGACAATTAAGTATCCTAGGATCTTAAGCAGTTGTCTCTGTACAAAAATCTTTAGAAATAGAGATATTTCTTTGAATATATGGAAAGATTTTCCTCTGTAGAAGGAAAAAATGGGCACTAAGGGAACATATTTTTTATAAAAAAAAGTCCATGGAAAACATTTTCGGTTCTAAAATGTGGGGCACTAAGGGAACATATTTCTTATAAAAAAAAGAGTCCATGGAAAACATTTTCGGTTCTAAAATGTGTTTTTTCAGAGAAAAACAAATGTGTTCACGAGAACATATGTTTCCCTGAACCTATTTTTTTCCTATAAAAAAATTCAGTTACTGGAAATTGATTTTCCTTGAAAAAAAACTCCTGTGTTCCCGAAGACTGATTTTCCTCTATGAAAAAATCCTCAGTTCTTGAGGACTTATTATTTTCAGCCCCAGAAGATTGACTATCTGTGGAGTGTTTCTTTTATAGAAAAAATCATCAGTTAATTAGGTCCAATTTTAGAAAGAAAAAAATGTCCTCTTTTCTGAAAACCGATTTCATATCTTTGTGCATTTGTTTGTAATATGGAGAAAGAAGAGAGATGGACCCATAGGTACTTTTGAGGATCTTCATAGAATCACTTTCTGATCGATTTATGCGTGAGAATCGGTTCAAATTTAGATGAAGAAATGACCTGCATTTTGGCACATCCGACTGAATTTAGTCTAGAAATAAGTACATCAAATCGGTTCCGATGTAGGTATAGCTCCCATATTTATGTTTCATCCGATTTGGGGCTTTAAGTCTCTCTCATGCGTAATATGCACTCCACAACATTGATATTCTGCACCAGATATCAGATACAGTCCAGAAATATATCCGACAAATTTTTATCGAGATCGGATCAAATTAGGATATAGCTCCCATATATATCTTTATCCGATATTAGGTTTATTGTACACAAAATGGGTAATATCAGCCCAAATGGAAATTTCGACAAGAAATTAAATTTATCTTAGAAACAAGTACTTCAAATTTCCATACCTATGTTTTATCCGACATGCGCAATATGCAATCCACAACAATAATCTTTTGTACCAGATCAGAAATAAATGCCTAATTGGATTTCAGCCTAAAAGAATGTGCCTCAAATTTTGGTGAAAATCGATTCAGATATAGCTATACCTCTCATATATATGTATCATCCGATATATGTTTCATCCGTGTTAAAGTCCCTCACATGCGTTTTATGCACTCCACAACAATGATATTTGATAAAAGGCATCAGATAAAGCTCGCAAAATTCCTCTGCCAAATTTTATCGATATCGGTTCAGATTTGTATATAGATTCGATGTACATCTTCATCCGATTTTACGGTTATTGCTCACTATATGTGTAATATCAGCACAAATTGAATAGATTTTTTCATAATCAACTGAATTTTACCATTTGATGAAACTCGGCCCGGTCATATCGTGAACTATACAGCAATATTATGTGGTTCATAGTTGGTATGATCTACTTCATATAAAATCCCAATAAAAACTTTTTTCTTACGGGAGCTCTACTGATTACGCTCGATTTTTGGCCTTTCATTAATGGAAAAACCGCCTGAGGCATTTTTCTGTATACAAAAACCAGACTTTAGTTACGCCTGAGGATTTTTTTCTATGGAAAAAACCCTGCCTCAGTTACGTCTGCAATAATTTTTTCTATAGAAAAAAAACCGGTTTCAGTTATGTCTGAGACATTTTTTCCTATAGAAAAACACATAGGCCTCAGTTACATCTGAGGCATTTTTTCTATAGAAAAAAAATCAAGCATCAGTTACATCTGAGGCATTTTTTCCTATAGAAAAAAAACACAGGCCTCAGTTATATCTGAGGCATTTTTTCCTATAGAAGAACCCTGGAATCAGTTACGACTGAGACATTTTTTTCTATAGAGAAAAAAATCTTTCCACAGTTGTGACTGAGACATTTTTTCTATAAAGAAAAAATCTGGCCTCTGTTGCTACTGAGGAATTTTTTTCTTCGGAGGAAAAATCTTAAAAATCAATTTCCATTTCCAACTAACCTTCATCGCTGCTAATAACATCCTTAAAATCGAAAATCTGATTAATTTGATTAAATTCAGCACCACGCCAATGCTTTGGTTTTGGCCGATAGAAATCATCCAAATACTCCTGACGTCGCTTATCGTCGAAGGCACGTTCCTGCAACCATTTCAAATCGTACACCGATTGATGTTTATCACTCCAGTCGATAATCAATTGTTGGGTTTGCTCATTTGTCTAGGAAAAATCAAAACAATTATGTTACGGCTCATTAAAATCAATGAGGATGCAACAACCGGCAACCGTCTGGCTGTCAGACTGGCTGACTGACTCACTTGTAACTTCTCGACGCGAACATTGACATCAAATTTATCCCAGTCATGTTTACGTGACTTTGAAGTGGGATGAAAACATTGTGTACAGTTACAATTATCACGTAACCAAACACTGGGGAACTTTAGAGGTTGGGATGTGGTCGTGGTGTTGGTGGTTGGGGCAGAGCTCCCGTCTGGCTGCACCACAACGAATTTATCGTTTTCCACGGTGGCACTAATCAATCGACGTAATAGGTGATTAACGCGGAATTGTGTTGGGGTCGGAGCACTGATTAATCGATTTAGAGATTTTGTTAGCATGATTGCATGTGTTTTCTATTTTCTGTTTTCTATTTTTTTTTTTCTCTTTTTGGACCTTCACTTGAATTCGCGATGTTCAAGCAATGCCGACTAGAATGAAACTGCTTTGCAGTGACAGATAATACAATGTTGCCCCCGATTGAGATGAGTTGCTAAACCAAATGAGTTGTAGTCATTATCAGTAATCACTTCTTATCAATAAAACATTTGCGCTTAGTATTGGTCTAGCTTGTTTGATTTTGAAAATAAAACGAGTCATTTTTAGCGCACATGTGTGTTGTTGCTTTTTTTCAAAATTGATAGCTGCTATGAATGGACTTTGTTTGGCGTGAATTTAAGAATTGACCAACAGTGATTATGCTCGTGTGTATACGTTAAACTTTCGATGCAACACTTCATATGTTATCAAGAACATGCAATTCAAAGATTGTATATTTGATTTCATTTTGCACCAAATGGGTTAATATCAGTCCAAAAGTAAGGGGATTTTGGCATATAGACATACATATCATTTGATAAGGCTAAAACGTGCCTCATCCGCTTACAGATTTTGACAATTATCACCAATTCAGAATGACCTCTTGCCAGAAAAGGACAAATCTGAAAAAAGGGTAAGAATATGCCGATAAAAGTGAATATTTGTACCCTACACCACAAGGTGGTCAGGGTATTATGTCTTTGTGCATTTGTTTGTAACAGACAAAAGGAAACGAGATAGACCCATAGTTCCTTTTGATGATCTGCATAGAATCACATTCTGAGTCGATTTATGCATGTCCGTCCGTCCGTCTGTCCATGCATTTTTGTAAACAAAGTACAGTTCGCATTTCTTGCCCTATCCAGATGAAATTTTGCACAAATCATTTATTTGGCCCAAGGATGAACCCTATTGAAATTGGAGATAATCGGTCAAAATTTAGATATAGCTCCCATATATATCTTCATCCGATTTGCCTTTTATTGTGAACCAACCGTGTAATATCAGCCCGAATTGTATGGAATTTTGCACATACAACCAAATTAGGCCTGAAAATAAGTATGCCAAATTTGATCAAAATCGGTTCAGTTATAGCTCCCATTTATATGTTTCATCCGATTTGTTATTTTTGTCCTCCGCAGCCATAATATGCACCCTGTACAAACAATATTTGGGGAAATATATCAAATACAGCTCAGAAATACCTTTGCTAAATTTTATCGAGATCGGTTCAGATTTGGATATAGCTCCCATATATAACTTCGTCCGATTTACCTTTTATTGTGCACCAAACGTCTAATATTTGTCCAAATGGGATGAAATTTGGCACTTACGACCGAATTGAGTCTAGAAGCTAGTATGTCAATTTTGGTGGAGATCGGTTCAGATATAGCTATAGCTCCCATATATACTGTTCATCCGATTTGTCATTTTTGTTACCCACAACCGTAATATGCACTCCGTAACAACGATATTCAGGGAAATATATCAAATAAAGCTCAGAAATATCTTTGCCAAATTTTATCGAGATCGGTTCCGATTTGGATATAGCTCCCATATATAATTTTATAACCGATTTCAAATTAATTGTGCACCAAATGGGCAATAGAAGTCCGAATTTAAAAGATACAAATGCTTCGGCATATTTAGTCCTTTGAACTTTCAATTATAATTATAATCATAGGGTGTATGATTGAATTCTCCCATAAAAACCCCGCCCGACTTTAAGACTTTCTTTACTGGTTTTTCTTATATTTTTTATTTTTTTGAAATATTTTTTATCACATGGAATTTTTATGCCCCACAACACAATGTGTTGGGGGTATTATACATTTTATTGGGCCAAAAATTATGTTACACCCCGAAATAATTGTTTCCGTCATATATGGAAACTATATATGGATCTTCCTATCTCGGCGAGCTGATGCGTCCGTCTGTCAATGTTAATTTGTAATCACGCTACAGGTCGCAATCGTGGCCCGATCATCACGAAATTTAAAATGGAGGTGGGTTAGAGTCCGAATAGATTCCTGTTGCTTTTTGGAGATGGTTGCAAAATTAACCAAAAAATTTTCCTGATTTTGCAATTGCTCTATAGGCCACAATTAACAACCAATTGACTTTTAGGGCTAGGCAGAAACTAACCAATTTGCATGGTAATCGGACAATATGTAGCGGGTAAATTAAACCATAACTTTTACGTCGATAAATATGAAAATTTTTCCACTTAATCCCGAACATTTTCAATCCCGGCCAAATCACAAATACATTATAAGGTCACTTCCAAACATTACAGAGATGCTAATGGTTGGAAGTGACTTTATATCGGATATGTAGCAAAATAGGCAAAATATATTTGTAAATGAAAAATATATTAATTATTCTGCTTATAAGTCAAGAATCGCTGGACAAATTTTCACAATTCACATCGGTTCGGAATGGGCTCATGCCAGAAAAAACTGAATATTTTTTGTTACATTTTTTAAATGTATCTCACATTTTTAATCTCATGCGATTTTTTCAATTTGACTTACAACTTAGAATTTTACATTTTCTATAGTTGTTCTGCACCCTGCAACACTATATGTTGAGCGTATTATATACAGGTCGCAATTAACGTGTGATGCTCACGAATAGTGTTAGGGTCAGAATTAAAGCCCATTGTGTTTGAAGATGTACATTTAGAGGGTTCAAATGGACAAAAAAATTACAATTTTCCTGATTTTACAGTCGATCTACAGGTCACAATTAAAAACCAATCGACACGAACTTTGCATGAGAAGAGAGTTATGCATAGGTAAGTCTAGCATTTTGGATGACCATTGAATTATATTTAGCTGTAAAATGGACCACAACTTTCGTGTGAAATTGTTTTGAATACCTAAAGATGGGCAAGTGCCTTAGGTCAAAAAGCTAAGGGTAGGGCTCTATGACATCATATCAAAAACGAAATCTTCCAAAATGGATTTGGACATAAGGGAGCGTTCAGTATATTGTAGTTTTGTAGATTATCAGCTGGTCGGCCCCGCATGACCATAGCCTTTGCTTACTTGTTTAATATGACTTACAATATTGAACTGTACATTTTGCAATATTTTTTTACCTTATAACACTATGTGTTGTGGACAGTAAATTCAGGTCGCAATTATCGTCCGATTCTCACGAAATGTTGGATTATAGTGTTGTAGGATATCACATGGTCGGCCACGCACGGCTATAGCCTTTGCTTACTTGTTTTTATTTACATGTTAAAATTTGGATTCTCTTATTACTATGTTTCTCTATTCGAATAATAATTTGATATCTGATAAAATATTTTCTAGAAAACTACTTTTGCTAGGAGAACACTACATTTACGCATGTAGTTAGTCCATTTCGCCTTTCAAATAATGTCATATAGTCATAGTAAATCGGTATCATACTCCCTGTGTATATTTTTATACCCTCCACCATACTATGGAGGGTATATTCATTTTGTCATTCCGTTTGTAACTCCTCGAAATACTCATGTCAGACCCTACAAAGTATATATATTCTTGATCAGCGTAAAATTCTAAGGCGATTTAGCCATGTCCGTCTGTCTGTCTGTGTGTCTGTCTGTCTGTCTGTCTGTCTGTCCGTCTGTCTGTCTGTCTGTTGTAATCACGCTATCTTTCGAACAAATTGAGATAGAAGGCTAAAATTTTGCACACATGTATATTTTGCCAGTAGGCAGGTTATGTTCGAAAATGGGCCATGTAGGTCCAAGTTATCATATAGCCCCCATATAATGGTACCTCCCGATATTTGGTATTTTGATGATTTTAGCGACATTATTCATCGGAATTGTTTCAAATTTGGCATTTAAAGTTCGTAATGGATACTACACCGTAAGCCAAAAAATGAGCCATGTAGGTCCACGTATTCATATAGTCCCCATATAACGGTACCCGCCGATATTCGCGATTTTAATGATTTTAGCGACATTGTTTACCGGAATCGTTTCAAATTTGATATTTGAAGTTTGTAATGGATACTAAATCCTAAGTCAAAAAAATGAGCCATGTAGGTCCACATCTTCGTATAGCCCCCATATAAGGGTACCCCCCGATTTTCGGTATTTTGATGATTTAAACGACATTATTTAGCGAAATCGTTCCAAATTTGGTATTTGAAGTTCGTAATGGATACTACGGCCTAAGACAGAAAATTTTCTGTGCAGGTCCACATCTTCATATAGCCCCATACACCGTACCCCCCGATATTCGGTATTTTGATGATTTTAGGGACATTATTTATTGTTTCAAATTTCGCATGTGAAGTTCGTAATGGATACTTCAGCCCATGCCAGAAAATTGTCTGTGCAGGTCCATGTTTTCGAATAGCCCCCATATAACGGTACCCCCCCCCCCATATTCGGTATTTTAATGATTTTAACTTCATTAAAAACAGATTTTTCTTCAAGTTTCACATTTAAATTATTGTAACAACTTATGACAAAATATGCCTATGCAGGCCCACGTCGTCGTATAAGCACTCGGTATTCTTAAGATTTTAACAGAATTTTTAACGGATTTTATTTTTTGGAAATTGCCAAATTTGTACCAAATGGTGGAGGGTATTAAAAGTTCGGCCCGGCCGAACTTACAGCTTTTTTACTTGTTGTATATATGCATGTATGCGTCTACCAAATCCGCAGAAATGTAAAGTTCAAAATGGTATTTTATAACCTCCACCATACTATGGAGGGAATATTAACTTTGTCATTCCGTTTGTAACTCCTCAAAATACTCATATCAGACCCAACAAAGTATATATATTCTTGATCAGCGTAAAATACTAAGTCGATTTAGCGATGTCCGTCTGTTTGTCTGTCTGTCTGTCTGTTGTAATCACGCTATCTTTCGAATGAATTGAGATAGATGGCTAAAATTTTGCACACGTGTTTATTTTTCCAGTAGGCAGGTTAAGTTCGTAAAGGGGCCATGTAGGTCCACGTTTTCATATAGCCCCCATATAACGGTGCCTCCCTATATTCGGTATTTTGATGATTTTAGCGACATTATTCACCGGAATTGTTTCAAAATTAGTATTTGAAGTTCGTTATGGGAACTACAGTCTGTGACAGAAAATTGTCTGTGCGGGT